GTAGGATGGAAGGCTGAGAGATGACTCAGCAGGTAAAGGCACTTATTCTGTAAGCCTGGCAACCTGAGTTAGATACCTAGCACCCACATAAATGTAGATGGAGAGACTAACTACACAAAGTTGTCCTCTGACTTCCACATGTGTGCTGTGGCACACATACTCACAAATTCATCATATGTGCTCACACACACACAGTAATAGTAATAGTAAATAAAATTTAAAAATTAAATTGGATAGTGATTGAGGAAGATATACAACATCTCACAGGTTCCTGGTGGTTTTTTGGGTTGATTAGAGTTTTTTCCTTTGTTTGTTTGTTTGTTTGTTTTGAGGCAGCGTCTCCCTGTAGCCCCAGCTGGCCTGAAACTCCCTATGTAGATGAGGCTGTCCTCCAACTCACTGAGAACCGCCTGCCTCTGCCTCTTGAGTGCTGCAATTAAAGGTGTGCACCACCATGCCAGCAGTTTTTGTTTTGAGACAGGTCTTATGTAGCCCAGACTGGCCTCTAACTTGCTGTGTAGCCAAGACAGGCCTTAAACTTATAATTCTCCTGATTCAGTCTCTCAAGTGCTAGGATTACAAGGTGTACCACCACACCAACCATTAAAATATCTCTCAAACATGAAAATAAAGTACAAACAAAAAGTAGAGATTTTCTACCAGCATGCTGTCACTAAAAAGATGTGTTTTAAGGCCGGTCAGTTGGTTCATCAGGTAAAGGCACTTGCCATCAAGCCTGATGATCTGAGTTTGATCCCCAGGACCAACAAGGTGAAAGGCGAGAACTAACACCTAAAAGTTATCTTCTGACTTTTCTCACATGTCATAGCACACATGTGTGCACAAACATGAACATACAATACACTACATAAATATACTTTTAAAAATACATATTTTGTGCCAGGTGTGGTGACACAAGCTTAATCTTAACCCCAGCACTCCAAAGGCAGAGACAGACAGATTTCTGTGAGATTGAGGCCAGCATGGTCTACATAGCAAGTTACAAAACAAAACAAAACAAAAGAAAACTAATATCTGCAGGAGGGAATACAGAGTATGGCAAATATTTGAATAAACCTAAATGAGCTGGGTAAAGTGGCAGAGCTCTATAATTCCATGAAGGAGGATTGCAAATTCAAGGCCTGCTTAGGATACGGATTAAGTCAATGTCAACCTGGACAACTTAGTAAAATTGTGTCAAAATTAAAAGTAAAGGGAATTGGAGAGATGGCTTGGTAGCTAAGCACAGTGGCTGCTCTTGCAAAGGACCCAGAGTTTGTTCCTAGCACCCACATGGCAGCTAACAACTATCCATAACTCCAGTTCCAGGAGATCTGATGCCTCTTCTGACCTCTGTGGGCATTGTACAACATGGGTGCACTTGCATACATGCAGGCAAAACGCTCATAACACACACACACACACACACAAAAATAAAAATAAATATTTTTTGGTCTTTTTGAGACAGGGTCTCCGTGTAGCCCCAGCTGTCCTGGAACTCACTATGTAGACCAGGCTGGCCTTGAACTCACAGAGATCCGCCTGCCTCTGCCTCCCGAGTGCTGGGATTAAAGGCATGCACCACCATGCCTGGCAATAAATATTTTTTAAAAAATAATAAAAAGTAAGAAGAGGGATAGGTAATATAGGTCAGTGGTAGAATCCATGCCTAGAATCCATCAGTGAGGGCCTGGGAATGTAACTCAATAGCAGAGTGCTCGCCTAACATTCATGAGGCCTTGGGTTCAATCACCAGTAGCAAAAAAAACTAAAGTAAATTCAATATATAATTTAGGGATAGGTAAACTATACCTGTTTTGTAAATAAGGTTTAAGGGAAACTATGATGATTAATCTTTTTGTTTTCTTTGTAATAGGGTACAACTGTTGTCCAGGTTAGCCTGGATTCACAGTAATCCTCTTGCCTCAGCCTCCTGAGTGCTGGGTTTGTAGGCTTGATCCTCCAAACCCAACTGGGATGGTTAAAATTGAGTCAACTTGACTGGAGTGAAAAGTACCTAGGAGCAAAGCATCTGTCCTGGTGTGTCTATAAGGGCATTTTCAGAAGGAATTAACTAAGCAGGGAAGACTCATCCTGAATGTGTTTCCCATAGATAGGACCCAGGTACTGGAGAGATGGTTCAATAGTTAAGAGCACTTGGTGCCCTTGCAAAGGACCAAGGTTGGGTTCCCAGCACCCACATGGTGGCTCACGACGGTCTGTAACTCCACTTCCAAGGGATCTGACTCCCTCTTCTGGCCTCTATGGGCACCAGGCACGCATGTGATGCATATGCATACATGCAAGGCAAATACTCATGCACATAAAATAAATCTTAAAAAAAAAGACCCACATGGACTGGATTAAAAAGAAAGAAGCCTGTTAGCACAGGCACTCCAGCTTTCCTCAGGGTTAGCACCTAGGCCAGCAAAGCGCTGCAGGTTGCAGAGCTGCTTAAGGAGCACAGATCAGTGGCCAGAACAGAATAGTGGCCAGCACAGAATGGCAAAGGGGAGCGGGATACAGGAAACAAGGAGATGTAGGTCTAGGGGTTCTTCTGACCATTCCGGAGCAGGTGCTGGGGACTGAACCCAAAGTCTTATGCATGCTAGGTACTCTACCTCTGAGCTACACCCTGAGTGCCTTCCTGAGTTCATTCTGTATTCCCCTTCCTGCTTTTTGTTTAGTTTTGTTTATTTGAGACAGGGTCTCCCTGTAGCTCCAGCTGACCTGGAACTTGCTATGTAGACCACACTGGTCTTGAACTCACAGAGATCCACCTGCCTCTGCCTCCCAAGTGCTGAGATTAAAGACGTGTGCCACCCCACCCAGCCCCTCCTCCTTTTCGTACCAATGAGTTTATTGGGTCTGCTTGCAGGAGCATGAGTGACTCTCAGGCAGCCGCATCATGAGAAGTCCCACCACTGCATGAGTGACTCCCATGAAATCCAAATCACTGAAGTCCTCTTTACAAGGATACACGACAGAAAAATGCACGGAAATGTGTGTACAGGGGTGGTATCCCATACATTCTACCGTTCTGCTGTAAACCTACAATTAGTCTAAAAAAAATCCACTTTAAGCCTAAAGGCAAGGTGGTGCACGTCTTTAATCCCAGCACTTGGGAGGCAGAGGCAGGCAGATCTCTGTGAGTTCAAGGCCAGCCTGGTCTACATAGTGAGTTCCAGGCCAGCTGGGGCTACAGGGAGACCCTTTCTCAAAATGACCAAAAAAATATACTTTAAAATTGCATAGAATTAGGACTGGGAATGTAGTTCAGATGATGGAGTGCTTATCTAGCATGAACAAACTAGGTTCCGGCCTTAGTACCACATAAACTAGGCATGGTGGTACAAGTCTGTAATCCTAGCACTTGGGAGATAGAGACAGGAAGATCAGCTACTGCAGCACAAACACAACAAACAATAAGAGAGACCCTGTCTCAGAGAAGGTAAAAGGTGAGGTATGTCCTCTGACCTCCACACGAGTGCCATGGCACATGCATGCCCACACTTGATACATATGAACATGGACACACATCATACACACACTGAGCCATCTCTCCAGTCCCTTGTTAATTTTTTATTTTGGATTTTTTTCCTGATTTTGTTCTTTTTTGAGACAAGGTCTAACGTATCCCAGACTGGCTACAAACTCACTGCATTGCTAAGACTGGCCTTGAATTCCTGATTCTCTTGCCTCGACCTCCCAAGTGCTGGTATTCCAGCCATGGGCTACCACACCTCGCTCTATTCTTATTACTTTGAGACCTTGAACTTGCTATGTTGCTATGTGACTGACTGAGAATGACCTTGAACTCCAGATCTTTTTGCCTCTGCCTCGCAAGTGCTGGGATTATAGATGAGCAACACCAAGCAAATTTTGAAAATGTTGTATTCTAAGCCAAAGCTGTGTCATGCTTGCTTCTATAATCTGTGTCTGTTTTATTTTGGAGTATTTCCTAAGTGGGATGGTTGTGTGATTTGCGGTTTTGTTGTTGTGTGTGTGTGTGTGTGTGTGTGTGTGTGTGTGTGTGGTCTTTGGTTTTGTTTGTTTGGTTTTGAGATTGGGTCTCACTATGTAGTTCAGGTTGGCCTGAACCTTGCTATGTAGACCAGGCTGGCCTGGAACTCACAAAGCCCCTCCCCCTCTGCCTCCAGACTGCTGGGATTAAAGGTGTATGGTAACATGCCCCGTTTAGGGTGGCGTTCTTAAGTGGAATCATTGAGTCAAAAAAGACCAATGTTGCTCAGATTCTGTCCTACTGTCAGAACGACAGATGGGTCCAGCTGAAGGGTCATTTCCAGCTGCCCCAGAGCTGTAGGTGGTCAGGGTACGCTTGAAGGCTCAAAGTTCAGGCAGGAAGATTGTTGGAAAGGTTTTTAGTGTGTAGAATGTTTCAGACATCCCGTCACTGAGTGATAATTGTAACAGAAAAGAGCCAGCTCTGGAAAAAACACAGAACCGAAGGAAGGCTTCTGAAGGTTCATCTTCCTGGACTCGGGCTTTCATTTCTCCCACTATACTCCTGGACTCTCCAATTTCCTAAAGAGTATTTACGTCACCTTTAGGCCAATGTTTACATTTACAAACGCATCGTCTTTCTGGCCGTCAGAGCGCCAACTTCAAGGCACAAGTAGAGCTTCAGTTCACCAAATGTCAGGAATACAGGATTTCCCACCAAACAGGGCACGGGGTGTGGGGGGGCGCAGCGCTTGAGAGCCTGAGGCGGGAGAATAGCTCCAAATTCGAGGCCAGCCTAGGCTACACAGAGTTCCAGGTCAGCGTGAGTTAACAGATACTGTCTCCAAACAAAAGCAAAAGCAAAAACAAAGCGTCCAGAAGGGAGATCAACCGGGCAGGGGTGTAGCAGGCAATTTCTAGGTAGAGTCCAGGCGGCTCAGCTAGAGCAAGCAGCCAGGGTTTGGCCTTAGGTCCCTCCACCCAAACGCTGGAGCGGAAAAAAGGAGGCGGGTCTGGAGGTGGGGCCTACGTGGAGCCAAGGGCTCTGGGGCCCGCAGCGGAGCTACGCGGGCGGACTGTGGCCCCTCCCTGGGCCGCCATTGTGCTGCCTGCTGCGACTCCTAAGCCTCACCTTGCCCGGCTAGCAAGACCACATGGGAAATCTCTGATCAAGCCTGCGTCTCCCTACACCTGGCAACGCCCTTGCCCAGCAGGGTCTCGGTCATCAGAGTCGGGAGGATCTTGGACATCGCACAGGGGGTCCGGGGTCCCGGAGAACCACTTCTACGTTCCGGTGCTGGAGGCTTCAGTTAGCCCGACTGTGAGCTGTCACGGGTTGCCACGGCACTGCTGGCTAGGCAAGGCTTTTCCCAGCGCTCCGAGGAACCTGGCCTGGTCCCGTGTTTGGAGGAACAAGTCGTAGCACTGATCACGCCAGTCACCCAGCAGGCGCCCAGCACTGCCTTGTCCCTGGCCCCCACCCAAATCTACTCTCCTGCTTTGTTCCCCCAGAGCTCACGGTCCCCAAACAGTGTACCTGCCGGCGGTCCCAACCCAGCGGGAGAAGTGGACATGAGGTTGGCAGGTGGGTGGCTTCTACGGCGAACGTGAGAGAGGCCCAGGTGTCCCAATGTCTGTGTGTGGAGGGGCCTGGGTGGTCAATGGGTGTTTTTTTTAATGGAATATAGTCCAGTATTACCAACTCATAACAGACCAGCTGCCTTTGGAAAATGACTTCTGAGACAGAGGCTCCAGGGAGCCTAAGTGGTTGGGTGGAGATAGAGAGTCTTGCATGACCTTAGAAGAAAGCTGACAAGCATGTCTGTGGGGTTCGATATGATCCGACTGACAGCTCTGCTGTTGGCCAGACATCTAAGATGAAGATGCCTTCTGGCCTTAAAAATGCTTTGTGGAGGCAAGGATTGGGGTGAGGTGAGGAATGAAAATTGAGAACTGATAAGGTTGCAGCCTCCTGGACCTATCCAAGTGGAGCTGGGCAGTAAGGAACTGACTGGGAGGGAATGACATCAAGACAGTTCAGGAGTTTTGGAGAGAGTAATGGAAGGTGATGTAACCAAGGAGAAGAAGGAGGGCCTACAGAGTGTGATATCCTGGAACCCAGCAGTAAAGTGCTTACATCAGGACACAGCCCAACTGAGAGGTCACTGGACAGCAAACAGGCAGGCAGAGCTGTAACCCCAAGAAGGTGGTGGATAGTCTTGGTGACAGGCTGTTTGGTTGGAGTTCTAGGGTCAGGACAAGACTGGAAGCATTTGGGGAGAGAGTGGAGGTGAGATGATGGAAAACACAAGTGTAGGTGACTTTCTGTTATTTTTGTGGTGCTGTGGGTGGAACCCAGGATCTCATGCATGCTAGGGAAGTACTCTACCACAGAGCTACATCCCTGGCCAGAGACTACATGAGTTTTAGCAGAGTTTCATGGGGAATGGGAAGGTGAGGGGCAGAAGATGAGATGTGTCTTGCAGGATCTCTGTTTCATCTTTATTTTATTAAGATGGGACCTGTTGACAATACAAGAGAAGGTGAGATGGAAAGAAGGACCCTTAGCACAACAGATCCGAGAAGGGGGAGAACTTGATCAATCCTGCAGCAGGTAGAGGGACTGGTCTTCAAAAAGAGTACAGAGCCTCCATCAGAACAGGAGGAAAAAAGAGACAGATAAGTGGTCTGTAAATATACTGGCAGTTTCAGAGACAAGAAGTCGAGCCGGGTGCTAGGGAAGCCGCCCAGAGCATGAGTTCTGGAAGGCCCCTCCAAACCTGGGGAGAAGCAAATAGAGTGGTGTCAAGGTTTGCGCTCACTTTTTTCCCTCCATCAGGAAGGAGTTCAAGTCTTCCTCTTGGGTCTCTTGGTAGCAATGGGTCCCCACCTTCCAGTCCTCCCATCATTTGTTCCCAAATAGAAGGGGAGACCTAGTCATGGAGCAATGGGTTGTTGCAGAGTTCACTCACTGGATTCTGAGGTAACCTTGCCCTGTATCTGCCCTGCCTCCAGGCCCCCTGCGTATCGTGGTCCTAATCATCACTATGGGTCTCACCTGGATCCTAGTCACCATCCTCCTAGGTGGTCTTGGTGGTGGCTTTCCTCGAATCCAGCAGTTCTTCACTAGTGAGTGTGGGACCTCCCCTTGCCTCACTGTAGAGGTACCCAGGGTGGCTTCCTGGGCCTGATGCTGATGTCCAGTATGGGGTGTGGTGGTTGGTTTGTCCATCCCCTCCCTAGCACACTTCCTTTTGCTGCCTTCAACCTATCTCCTGGTGCAAATGCAGTCTTCTTCCTACCAACCGACAATTCCTAATTGCAATCCAGGACTGAGTAGAAGTCAGCACAGTAAGGAGTGGGAAGATCTTCCTAAATGTTGGTCCTCTCCCCTGAATGTTGATCCTCTCTCACTTTCTGCTGGGCTCTGAAACACACAGGGACTCTACATCCTGTCACTGGTGCCGAGTCACCTAAGTACTCTTACAATTCCACTTCACCTTTTTCTGGAGCAAGCAGTTTTACATCAAGTCATCATTTATACTTGATCAGGGAGCATGCTGAGGGTAATATGACAAGGCCCCAAGCCCCTGAGGCCAGATACCCTGCTGCAGGCTTCTGGAGGCCTCCTTACTAACAGAAACAACTTTCTGTACCCACAGGCCCAGAGAGCTCAGTGACTGCAGGTAAGCCTCCTGTCCCTTCCCTATCCCTTCTGGACCTACATCTTGTACTGCCTTTTGTGACATCCTGTCTGCTTCCAGCCCCCCAAGATTTGTGTTCTCCATCCATCCCTCACCCAACTAGCTATCAGAGCCTGCTGAGCTATGATCCTAGTGAATAAGTTACTATCAGTGAGGAGCAGGCATGGGTGAAACATTTTATTCCCAAAGGGAGAAGTTGGGAAGAAAAGGGGGGCTCATAGGTCCCAAGGAAGCCCTAAACCCAGCAAGGAAACTTCTAGGTTTCAAGGCTTGAGAAGAAGTCTCTGTGTCCAGCTACTCTTCTCTCTGGGCCTGGACCCTCTCTGGCTCTGCATCCTTGATTCTATGTTCAGAACCTCCCTCCCTCCCTACTTTCCTCCATCCCTTCCTTCCATCTCATTTCTGTCTCTGTCATTGGCTAACAGTATTTCTGCTGGTATAAACTCCTAACAAACTGCTGGCCTCTCAAGCAATTCATGAGAGCGAAAGGTATAAAACAAGAGGGTCCTCCACGGATATTGCCTGGATAATCCCATCTCAAGTCCAGACTTCTGAAAGGGTGGAGTGCACCTATAGTCGCAAACCCCATCTCCTTAGCAAGTACTTGGCTAGCTACCTTCTTTGTATTCTCTCTAAAGGATGTTCTTTCCTTCCTTCCTTCTTTCCTTCCTTCCTTCTTTATTTCTTTATGTGTTTAAATGTTTTGTCTGTATATATTTAAGTGCACCCATGCTTGCAATGCCCCCAGAGGCCAGAAGAAGGGAATAGAATGCCTGGAACTATGGGTGTCTGTCAGTTGCCATGTGCGTACTAAGAATTAAATTTGGGTCTTCTGCCAGAGCAGCTAGTACTCTTAACCACTGAGACATCTCTCTAGCCCCCTACAGAATGTGTTTTAAAAAATTTATCATACTGGAAATTGGACCCAGGGTCTCACACATGCTAGGAAAATACTCTACCACTGAGCTGTTTCCCTAGCCCTAGCCCAAAATGGTTCTGGATTGTTTTTATATGTATATTTTATTTTTTTATTTTAGGTGTGTGAGTATATTGCCTGCGTGTGTGTGAGTGCACCCGTGTCATGCAGTGCCGCAGAAGACAGAAGAGGGCATTGGATTCCCTTGGAACTGGAGTTAAGGACAGTTTGTAGCTGCCATGTGGATGCTGGGAATCGAACCCGGGTCCTCTGCAAGAGTAGTCAGTGCTCTTAACCACTGAGCCATCTCTCCAGCCCCGGTTCTGTATTGTTGTGTAGTTTGTTTTGGGGGTTTATTTTTATTTTTGTGTGTATGAGTATATTGCCTACATGTCTGTAAATGCATGCATGTTTGCTTTCTTAGGTTTGTTTGTTTTGAGAGACAGTCTCATTCTATGGCCCAGACTCACTATGTACTTTTTGATTGTTTTTTTTGGTCTGAGACAGGGTCTCCCTGTAGCCCCAGCTGGCCTGGAAAACGCTATATAGACCAGGCTGGCCTCAAACTCACAGAGATTTGCCTGCCTCTGCCTCCCGAGTGTTAGGATAAAGACATGCACTACCTGGGGGCTGGAGAGATGGCTCAGTGGTTAAGAAAACTGGTTCTTCTTGCAGAAGACCCAGGTTCGAATCCCAGCATCCACATAGCAGCTAACAACTGTCTGTAACTCCAGTTCCAGGGGATCTGATGGCCTCTTCTGCCCTCTGCGGGCATTGCACAGGTGCAGTTACCTACATGCAGGCAATACACGCATACACATAAAATAAAAATAATAAATATTAAAAAAAAGACATGCGCTACCACGCCCGGCTCATTATGTACTTTTTTTAAGCTCAGTGATTCTCCTGCTTTAGCCTACCAAGTGCTGGGATCACAGGCTTGAACTGCTTTCTCCTTTTTTGCAATACAATTAAGCTAAAATTTTCCTTATTCCTTTCTTTCTTTTGTGGCAGGGTCTCATGTATTCCAGGCTAGCACTAAATTTACTATGTAGCCAAGGATAACTTTGAATTCCTGATCCTCCTGCCTCCGTCTTCCAAGTGCTGGGATCACAGACATTCACATCACACCTGGCTAGTCCGAGATTTTTCTAGATCTTTATATTCTAGCTCTTCCATGCTTGATAGTTTGTTTTTCTTCTTCAACTGCTCTCATTTTACTATAAGCAGCAAGGAGAAACTAGGCGATACCTTTAATATTGTTCTTGAGAATCTCTGATAAATATCTGAGTTCAATCCTTATAAACTCTGGCTTCCACAAAACATTGTAATGATTGATACTTTATAACAAGAATAGCCTTTCCTCCTACTTCTAGTAAAATGTTCCTCACTTCCCTCTAAGGCCTCAGCAAATATACCTGTCATGTTCCCAGCAATGTTCTGCCCATGATGATATACATGTTGTTGACATGCCCCTTTCCCTGTTCCTCTCCTCTTCAGAGTTTTCACCAAAATTGTGTTTATTATCCATATTGCTAAATTCGATTTGACAGAGAGTTTTACTTTGTAGCCCAGGATATCCTTGAATGCAGTATCCTAGCTCAGTCCTCTGAGTGCTGGGATTACAGGTATATACTATCATGCTTGGTTTCAATCCATATTCCTACCAACAGTTTTTTAAGGCAATGTAGGCTATATTTCTACTATATACCTCAAAACTCTATAGCCTCTATTCATTACCCAATTCCAAATCCATTTCTACATTCTTAGGTATTTATTTATATAAGCAACCTAATTCCTGGTACCAAAATTTATATCAGTTTCCTGGAGCTACTATAAGAAAGTGTAATAGAGCAGGTGCCTTAAACAGAAATTTACTTTCCCACAGTTCTGGAAACCAGGAGTATAAATGAAGGTATCAGCAGGGTTGAGCTTCCCCAGAAAGTTCTAGGTGAGGGTCCTGCCATGCCTCTTCAGATTCTAGCATCCTTCTGTGTGCCTCCATTGTGGCTGTATCACCCTGCCTTCTGCCTACACTGGCCTCCAGAATCTCTTTCTGTGTGCATTTGTCTCTTCTCATAAGGACACTGGCCGTATTACGTTAAGGGCTCAACCTACTCTCATATAACCTCATCTTAACTGATCTGTCTGTAAAGTCTAATTTCCCAACAAGGTCACATTATGAGGGACTGGGAGTTTAGATTCTAGAACCTTCAAACCTTTAGAGGTTGTTCCTACCCTCACCCTGAGGAAATCAAGAGGCTAGCAGAACCCCATGCCCCCCTCACCTGCCTCAGTTCATCCACTTTGATCTGCCTGAGTACCTCATCCATGGGATTCCTACCCTGACTTTCTGGACCCCTTCTTTACTCTTGTTGTATAAGGGCTCCAGGCCAGCCCTTAGTCCCTCTTCCCTTCTCCCACCAGTAACAGAAAAGCCTTCTCCCTGGAATCCCTCCCCTCTTGCCAGCAGACCCCATGGAAGCATCCCCAGCTTTGACCCGATCCCTATGCCTTCCCCCAGTTCTAGGCTTTAGCTGGTCCTTTAGTCCTGTGGCCTGTCCTGACCCCTACCCTCAGATCTCAGGTGACCCTAGGGCCAGACCCATGGGTCACATCTCCTGTTCCTGCTCAGAACCACGGGCCAGGAAGTACAAGTGCGGCCTGCCCCAGCCATGTCCTGAGGAACACCTGGCCTTCCGCATAGTCAGCGGGGCTGCCAATGTCATCGGGCCCAAGATCTGCCTTGAGGACAAGATGTGAGCTTCTTGGGGTGCACATGGGCTGGGAAGTGGGAGGGAGGCTTGAGGCCAGGTCTGCAAGGGCTGAGGGCTGTGTGAAGAAGAGCAAAGCAGATGTGCCCACAAAAGATCTTCCGTCCTCCTGCTAGGCTCATGAGCAGCGTCAAGGACAATGTGGGCCGTGGGCTGAACATTGCCCTGGTGAATGGTGAGTCCTCCATGCTGCAGGAGCAGTGTTTGGACCACAGAGGCAGGAGCCGTGCTATGTCCTGCACCAACCACTCTGTACTCCCTGCACAGGTGCAGATGGCTTCTGGGTACTCCCAGGGAGGTTTGGGAAGGGTTCTGTGCCAGTCAAAAGCTCCACAAAGGAAGCTGCCTAGTGAACAAAAATGTGATAGCAATGGTGTGTGCTTAGGGCCTCAGAGGCCAGAAGCTCCATGGACTACAGCTGTGTGAATGAGAGGATGGCAGGGGATATTCGAAGCTTCCAGAGGGACTGGCACCCACCATGACCTAAATCTAGCCTTGGGGCTGAGGTAGTGATGGGGGCGGCGGGGCCCAGCCAGCTTGCCCAGCAGGTCTTTCTCCCTCCTCTTGTCACAGGAGTCAGTGGTGAGCTCCTAGAGGCCAGGGCCTTCGACATGTGGGCTGGAGGTGAGTGGCATCTTTCCCCCTGAAGCCTTGTCCTCTGGGTCCTTGCATTCAGCTGTTCAAGTATTGCCCTGTGTTCACAACAGGTTTTAGGGGGGAGATCTCTGTGTGGGTCTGTGTTTTGTGACAGGATGTCCCCAGCTTCTTTACTAGTTTGTACACATACTGCTGAGACATGGCCCTAGCCTAGTCCGTACTTTGTTTTCCTTATTTGAAGCACAGTAGTTGGTGGGGAAGGGATAACCAGTGGGACCTGAAGCTCTGTGTTCCATGGGCCCATCCTCACCAGATGTCAACGATCTGTTGAAGTTCATCCGGCCACTGCATGAAGGCACCCTGGTGTTTGTAGCATCCTATGACGATCCAGCTACCAAGTAAGTGACTATTAAGGCCAGCTTCAACATTGTCCCTGTACAATAAAAGCCCATAGTTCACATTTCTTCCTACTGTGTGGCAGGATGAATGAGGAGACCAGGAAGCTTTTTACTGAGCTGGGCAGCAGGAATGCCAAGGAGCTAGCCTTCCGGGACAGCTGGGTGTTTGTGGGAGCCAAGGGTGTGCAGAACAAGAGCCCCTTTGAACAGGTACAACAGAGAACCTGGGACCTCTGCCTCCTATCCCTGGAAGCCTAGCCACCCCTTCTGTTCATATCAAATCCTGCTTTGAATTCTGTCCAGCAGGACCCTGAGCCAACAAATGGCACCCCTATCTCCCACCTGTGCCCTGGGTGGCCCTGACCCCTTGCTGTCTCCACGGGGAGGGGAGGTAACTAATCTTTCCCATCCTGTATGTATTTCACCCTAAAGGGTCTTTAAATGGCAAAGTGCACATTGGCCAGGCTTATAAATAAGAAACCTTCCCAAACATCCTCAGAATGCTCAGTCAACATATGTAGCTCAGTTGCGATGGAATGTTTGTCTAGTATGAATAAGGCCCTGAGTTCAATCCTTAGCATTACATAAAATTGAGCATGGGTACAGACCTGTAATCCAACACTGGGGAGGTAGAGGCAGGAGGATCAGAAGTTCAAGGTCATCCTTACCTACATAGGAAGTTTGAGGCCATCCTGGGCTACATGAAATACTGTCTCCAAAAAATGCTAAGTTCCATCCTGACCCTGTTATAACTCAGTGTAACGATCCACACTTCACACCCATTTCCCACCTTCCCTGAATACCCTTTTAGGCTATACCTGTCAGACCTTGTGCTAGGGGCTGCTGGAAAGAGGAGAGCCCCCAGTATCATCCTCAGCTTTGGTGGCTCCCAGCAAAAAGAACCTCCAAATCCTGTGCTCCACAAACACATGCAAGCACATTTCTCCATGGTTGTGGCTGAGAGAAACAACTCAAGCTCATGTTTTCTAAGACCTTCTGCTGACCATTGCTGCAGCTCCCTGCCTCCTGCAGCCAGGACCACATGGTCTCCCTTCTGCCCACAGTGCCCACATCAAGCCCACAGTCCATCCCCAGTTTACCTATGAGGGAATAGGCCAGTGCAGCCATCCCCAATTTTCCCAGGCAGGGGTGGAGAAAAGGGCAACAGCCTGGAGCGTACCCAGATGGTTGGCCCCTGAAGGCCAGGCCATGATTTCTGCTCCCTCTGCTCCCTACAGCATATGAAGAACAGTAAGCACACCAACAAGTACGAGGGTTGGCCCGAGGCCCTGGAGATGGAAGGTTGTATCCCGCGCAGAAGTGTGGCCGGCTAGCACAGCAGAGCTCTGGGACCAGACCAAGGGAGGCAACGCGACGCTAGTGCAGGGGCAGAGGCCTTGCCTTGTGCTCAGGCATGAGGCTCCCCAGCCCCAACACATCAGGGTTCCAAGGCGATAACCAGATGGCCTCAAGGTGATGGGGGGCTGCAGGGCTGGCCCATCATACTTTGTCATAGAGCCCAGGTATCTATGTCCTTGTTTTTCCAAAGCTGATCCCACAGTCAGTTCCCACCCAACCCTTTCCTCTGCCCCTCATTGTGTCATCTACTTCCTGAGTGCCCCCAGAGGCAAGGGTCTTCAGTGCTTGCCCCTCTCACTGCAGCAGCCAGGGAGCAGGTTGGGACATCTTCCAGAGCCTCTCCCTTCCAGAGGCACTTACTGCCCTACCATCCAACTGTTTTCAACGTGATCCTTTCAGTAAGCCAAATTAGGTGGCCACTTCTGTTCAGCTGGCTGGAACAGGCTGGCCTTTCGTGGCCAGGTAACTGGAGCTTGATCAAAGTCTGCAACAAAGTGTATGACAATATGCAGATTGTCAGAGGACCCACCTTCTAGAAGACCTGTTTGCTAATAAATTGATCACCTGCAGTGGAATAAAGTGCACTCAGATGCTGTCTACAGTGGAGAGTAAGAGGCGGTGTTGTCCTATGTGTGTATAGGGGGCAGAGCCCCAGAGGCTCAACCAACCTGCTGCTTCTAGAGCTTAAGCAAGCAGCCTTTGTCAGCAGGCCCTACTGCAGCTCAGATGTGACTCGGGTACTAGGCAGAGTGGCTTGTCAGCTGTTATACATGGACTTGATCAGAGAGATGGCTGTGCACTCTGGAGCCCAAGGAAACTCACCAACTCCCTCTATCCCAGTGTGAGCCTTGGGGGAGATGGCTAGGAATTAAAACCAGTGCAGGTGCTGAAATATCAAATCCAGGAGTGCCAAAGCAGTCTTGTTCAGAGGAGTGAATGGGGTTTAGACCTCCTAGAAGATCAAGACATCATAGTAATTTGAGGGGTCCATAAGGCATCCTGGAGGTGGTCATGCCATGGTTAATAAACTTAGAAGTCCTGTTGTAACCTACTTTCCAAGTCATCGCCCCCTTGGTATTAAGAACTGTGAGTCCCAGAGAAAATACTGAGTGCAAACCAGGACTTAAGAAATGAAAGTAGAGGGCCAATGACATGGCTCAACAGATAGGGGCACTTGCTTACAACCAAACCTTATGATCTGAGTTCAATCCCCCAGTTCCATGTGGTGGAAGGAGAGACCTGACTACCCCAAGTTGTCCTCTGACCTCCACATGTGCACCATAGCACAAACACACTAAATAAATTTAAAAATACAGGTAAAATTTTTTAAAAGAAGCTGGGTATGATGGTGCACACCTTTAATCCCAGCACTCGGGAGGCAGAGGCAGGTGGATCTCTGAGTTCGAAGCCACCCTGGTCTACATAGTGAGTTCCAGGCCAGCTGGGGCTACAGGGAGACTGACTCAAAAAGACAAAAAAAGTAATTTTTTTAAGGAAATGAAAGTAGGGCTGAGTGTGGTAGTTCCCAACACATGGGAAGGTGAGTGAGGAAGGAGGATCAGAAACTCAAATTAGGGACTAGAAAGATCGCTAGGCAGGTAGAGCACTGGCTGCTCTTGCAGAGGACCCAGGTTCAATTCCCAGCACTCACGTGGTGGCTACCAACCATCCTTAACTCCAGTTCCAGGGGAATCCGAAGCCCTCTTCTGACCTCTGCAGCATTGCATGACACGGGTACACTCACATACATGCAGGCAATACACTCACACACATAAAATAAAAATAATAAATAAAAATTAAAAAAAAGAAATTCAAGTCAAACCTGGCTACTTAGAAAGCTACAGTCCAGCTTGGCCTACATGGAATGCTGCCTCAGTGGTTAAGAGTGATGCCCTCTCCTGGCCTTAATGGGACTCATCCATGTGCACATAACCATATCCACACCTGCACAATTAACTATAAAAATAATTTTTTAGGCTGGGCGTGGTGGCGCACACCTTTAATCCCAGCACTTGGGAGGCAGAGGCAGGTGGATCTTTGTGAGTTTGAGGCCAGCCTGGTCTACATAGTTCCAGGACAGCTGGGGCTACAAGGAGACCCTTTCTCAAAAAGACAAAAAGAAAATTTTTAATGATCTACTTAAAAAAAAACCAAGAGGGGACTGGCAAGATGGCTCAGTGGATGAAGGTGCTTACTGTCAAGCCTAATGACCTGAGTTCAATTCCTAGAACTCATGGTAGGAGAGAATTGATCCCTGCAAGTTATCCTCAGTCCTACACAGCATGCACCCACCCACACACACACCTAAATAAATACATGTGGAAGGAAGGGAGGGAGGGAGGGAAGGGGAAAGAGAAAGAAAAAAGGGGGGAGAAGGAGGGTAAGTGTTTCAGTGGCAGGTAGATGCTGATTTAGAGGCATGGGGTGCTCAGAAGACAGGCATGCTAGGAAAGAAAGGGTTATGGATCCAGGGATGCAAGGATCAAGCCAGGAAAGCTGGGAGGGCTCAGCTATCAGCCCTGTACTCAGCCTATACTAAATTCTATGGGTAAGCATTCATAGGGGTACATGTGTGTGCACATGCATGTGGAGACCAGAAGTCCACCTTGAGTGTCCTTCCTCAGGTGCCCACCACCTTGGGAGGTTTTTTGGTTTTGTTTTCATGTGTCTAAGTATATTGCCTGTGTTTACTAAGTGCACCTGTGTCATGCAATGCCCTCAGAGGCCATAAGATGGCATTGGATCCCTTGGAACTGGAGTTACAAATGGTTGTTAGTCACTATGTGGGTGCTGGGAATTGAACCCAGGTCCTCTGCAAAAGCAAGCAGTGCTCTTAACTGTTGAGCCATCTCTGTAGCCCCTTCACCTTGGAGTTTCTTGCTTCTTTTTGAGATAGGGTCTCACTGTGTAGCTCTGGCTGGCCTCCAAATGACAGATCTACCTACCTCTGCCTCCCGAGTCCTGGGATTAAAGATGTGCACTGCCCCAGTTTTTGTTCTTTTTAGATTATCTTTTCCTGGCCTAACCTAAAACTCAAGATTAGGCTGGGCTGGCTAGAGGGTGAGTCCCAGGTATTCAGCCATTTTTTGCCTCCCAAGCACTGGTTTTACAAGCACATGCCACCATGCCTGGATTTTTTTTCTTAATGTGGGTTCTGGGGATCAAACTGAGGACCTCATATTTGTACAGTACCTTATGGACTGAACTTCCTCCAGCCCCTGTACCAAACTCTTTATAGTGTATTCCTGGTGGCTGGAATGTAGCTCAATGGTAGAGCATTTGCCTAGTATGCTGTCTTCAGCATGGCAAAATAAAATTACCATAGTCCCTTTTTCAGAAGATTTTCTTTCTTTGCAGCTATTTTAGTTTCACAACAAAACTGAGTAAAAAATACAGAAGTTCCTTTTTTGTTAGAATTGATCAGGTTTACTTTGGGTATTGTACATTCTTTAAGTTTTTCTTTTAATTTTTTTTTTGCATTTATTTTTCTATGTATGAAAGTGGACCCATGCAGAAGTTAGAGGGCAACTTTCAGGAACTGATTCTGTCATTCCATCACGTGGGTCCTGGAGATCAAACTCAGGTTGCCAGCTTGGCAGCAAGCACCTTTACCCAGTGAGTCATCTCAGAGGCCCATCTTTGAGTTTTGACAAAATTATGTAATGCTATGTAGCCGTAGTTAATAGTATCAGTATCATTTCCTGAATCTTTTACTTTGGGAAATTTCAAAAATCTCCAAGAGTAGAGGAAATGATATAATTAATTCTAAGAAACCATCACCTCCGTTGTAAGAAAACATAAAGGGTGAATTTAGGAGAGTTACAATGGCACCTGAAGCTTAGGAGCTTGAGTGGATTCTCCTGGTTAGCAGCTGATTCCCAGGTGAAGTGGAGCTTCCCTGGATGTGCTCACTGTGATGCTGGGAGAGAGAGTCCCTCCTGTGCCTTTCAGACAACTGTAGGATTGTCTGGTCTTTGTCCTTGTGTGTGTGTATGTTCATGCATGTGCACATGTGTGTGTGCATGTGGAGGCCAGAGGACAGCTTCAGATGGTACTTAGGTACTGTCTACCTTATTTTGTGTATGTGGAAGAGAATGCATGTTTGTGGAGGTCAGAGGTTCACTTGGGTGTCTTCCTTGTTCACTCTCAATCTTTTATAGGAATGCTTTATATATAAACATATGCTATATATTTATATTACAAGAATGCTTTATATATAGTCTATTTACTTTGTGTCTATATGTGTATGTATATGGAGGCCAGAGGACAACTTTTGAGAGTAGGCTCTCTCCTTCCACCATGTGAGTCCCAAGAATCAAACTCAGGTTGTCAAGGTTGGTGGCAGGCACCCTTACCCACTGAGCCATCTCACCAGCCCCCACCTTGGTTTTTTAAAATAAAATTTTATTATTTTTTTATTGTATGTGCATGAGTGTTTTGCCTGTATGCATATAAGTGCACCTGTGTAGTGCAATGCCCATGGAGGTAGGAAGAGGGTGTCAGAGCCCCTGGAACTGGAGTTACAGATGGTTAGCTGCCATGTGGGTGCCAGGAATCAAATCCAGGTCCTCTGCAAAAGCAGCCAGTTGTGGTCTTAACTGCTGAGTCATCGCTCCAGGCCCCCCACCCCCAACCTTGTTCTTTGAAACAAGGTCTCTCCCTGGTCTGGAGCTCACTAAGTAGGCTAGGCTGGCTGATCAGTGAGTCCCAGGGATACTCCTGTCTCTGCCTCCCCAGTACTGGGATTACAAGCATGCACCACAAGGCCCAGCTTTTACATGGGTGCTGGAGATTGAATTCAGGTCCTCATGTTTGCATGGCAAGCGCTTTACCATCTGAACTAGCTTCCCAGCCCCAATCTTTGTTCATTTGTTTGACAAATATTTAACAAGTGACTGTGTTGAACAGCCAGTGCTGTGTACTGAGAGAGGAGCCACAGCAGTGATTCCTCTCTTCAGGGAACTGTGCTCTGCTGGGGTCCACCAGAATCACAGAGACAGAAACAGGCCAGATTCATGTCCCACTTGGCCCAACACCGGCTAGGAAGCTGATAGTGTGTGTCTTTCTTACAGATTTAGGCTGTCAGCCACTCTAGCAGTCAGGACATCTTTAATTGTAAGTCCTAGTGTACAAACTGGCACAAGGAAAATAAAGAAGGGTGCTATTTATTGTTCCGTTAATGAACCCTCAAGCCCTAGAGTGATTCTTGCTCCAGTGATATCTTCTGGATGTGGGTTCTCTTCATCCCTGGCTCTGCTTTTCTGTTTTTCACTGCATTTTCCAACATGCAATGTTCCCACATAGTGCTGGGTGACAATAGCTGTTCCAATTTATCAACCCCAGCAGAAAAAAGCTCCCACCTTCCCAAAAGTTTTCAGTACAACTTTGAAGAATAGTTCTCCTTGGTTCAGATTGGATTCTGGATTTATCCTGACACCAGCCTCACTGGCATGTGCCCACACCAGGGGCCAGTGTTAGGGTCACCCACATGCAAACCATATGTTCCCAGAGTGTTGGTGGGGTAGTTACCGCAGGGAAAATAAGGTATAACTCGATGCTGGTTGGCAGAAGCAACTATTGTCGCTACATTGTCCTACATGTGCA